CTGGCAGTATTTATCAAGGGGATTATCACCAACCATATAAGATGAATAAAAAAGGGGAATGGATCGATCCATTCCCCTACAAGAAATTATTAAGAAGCGGTTTACCCCACCATAAAATTACACAGCTTATAAAGCGCCCGCGCGCCCACAATCGCATCAATGCTACCACTGCTTTCCCCCGCCGATACTTCATTCAGGTCAAAGCCGATCAGCTCACGGCCGCTGGCTTTCACCTGCTTGAACAGGTAAAAAATCTGCTCCAGCTCAAAACCACCGGGAACCGGTGTGCCGGTACCCGGACAAAGCTTCGGATCAAGCCCGTCTATATCGAAAGAGATATAAACTTTCTGGGGCAGCTCAGCAATAATATCATCACAGATCTGCTTCCAGGTACGGCCTTCATACTGCTGCTCCTTAATATCTTTATCAAAGAAGGTAACCACGCGCTTGCCGCTGCCTGCGATCATGTCCAGCTCCTCGTCGCAATAATCACGGATGCCTACTTGTACCAATTTCTTAACGGCCGGTATCTGCTTCAGCACATTGTACATGATGGAGGCATGCGAATAGGTAAAACCCTCATAGGCTTCGCGGAGATCCGCGTGGGCATCTATCTGTAATACGGCAAACTCTTTATGCACTTCGCTCAGTGCGCTGATAAAACCAAGCGGCGTGCTGTGGTCCCCACCAATAAGCCCTACTTTTTTACCTTCTTTGAGCAGGCGGCCGGTCATTTCCTTCACCCAGTTATAGAGTAAAAGACCGCCATTGTTCACCTCATCCAGTTTTTCGCTGAGCTGCTCATTATCCTCTACACGACCGCCATCGACCAAATGGGAGATGATCAGTTCGGCACATTGGCGTAAATAGTCGCTTTTTTTGCGGATATTACGGTCTACCGGCAGCATGTAAAACCCTTTCTTCCAGCCATCCGCCACATCCGGGTCGTACAGATCTATCTGCATAGAAGCATCAAAAATGTGTTCAGGACCACGGGCGGTTCCCTGGCGGTAAGAGACGGTCACTTCCCAGGGCACGGGCAGCAGCACCAGGGCTGCTTCGTCCTCTTTAAAAGGCAGTCCAAATATATTGTTTGATTTTAATCCTACACTATTCGGATCAAAGCTCGAAAGATCGACAGCCATATATAGATTTTTTCAACGGGCGCAAATGTAAAAACTAAAACGAAACCAACGTCATTTGAACGTAACTTTGCGCAGCGATTTTCAGGATTTTTATGAAGAAGACACATATTGTATTGCTCATTCTCGTTGCAGCAGCCATTAGCATTGTCGTGGTGATGTTTGCCGACTTCAGCACTTACGAAACATTTGCCTCTGCTGCCCAGAAGCCAAACACCAAGTTTAGGGTGATCGGGTATCTTGAAAAGGATAAAGCAATGACCTACGACCCAAAGGTAGACCCTAATAAATTTACATTCTACGTAAAAGATAAGCTGGGCAATGTGAATGAAGTGGTCTTTAGCGGTGCCAAGCCAACAGATATTGAAAAGAGTGAGCAGATCGTAATGACCGGGCATATGGAAGGGAATGTGTTTAAGTGTAAAGAGATCCAGATGAAATGCCCGAGCAAGTACAAGAACGACCAGATCGCAACGGGCGTCTGATACGGCCTGAGTTCACGCCAGAGAACAAATGCAAAACGACTGCCCATTTCAGTAAGAAGTGAAACGGACAACTAACTGTCTTTTGCTTCGGGATACCATACCCAATAGATAACTGCCGGTTATCCGTGCTCAGCAAGATGTATGGGCACAACTATACGGGCAGATGCACAGCGAAACCTGTAGCAGATATAATAGAGTAGCCAATAAATAATCATTGCACACGAATGGACATTCAATACATAGGCGAACAGTTAAGACCCGGGCAGCTGGGTCATTTTTTTACCATCGTCA